AAGTGCGCTTGGACGTGGGGGTTTTTTTGGGAAAAAAAAAACCTTTTTCAAAAAAAAATCCACTCTTCCTTAAAACATGAGGTTTATGTGTTTTTTTCTAAAAAGGGTTTTCTTTCTCGAAAAAACTGCGTCCAGACTACTTCCACTTTCGAAAGATCCTCTTTGAAAGTGAGACCGAAAGAAGATATGTAAATTCCCGTGAAATTCGATGGACGTGGGGGTTTTTTTGGGAAAAAAAAAACCTTTTTCAAAAAAAAATCCACTCTTCCTTAAAACATGAGGTTTATGTGTTTTTTTCTAAAAAGGGTTTTCTTTCTCGAAAAAACTGCGTCCAGACTACTTCCACTTTCGAAAGATCCTCTTTGAAAGTGAGACCGAAAGAAGATATGTAAATTCCCGTGAAATTCGAGCACCTCCACCCCCCATAGTGTAGACATACCCAGGGAGACCATACACAAGCACTTTCAGGCTGGGACGGGTTGAGTCACAAAGATCTCCTTGACACTGTCCCCCGATGGTCTCGTCATTCCGCTGAGTCCAGTACCCACCACACACAGGTCACGGTGAGTTACTGAACTCAGCTAAAACAACCCGCACCCGCTAAGGCTCCCACACAAAGAGAAATTGCCACCACTCCCGACGGCTCTCACGAGCTCTCGTTAATGCCGAGTCCTTCTCAGGCCAGAGCTGATATTTCTCCTGACCCGGGGTCAGCAGAATTCCTTTGTTCCCAGAGGTTTGCACGTATCCTCTCGGGAGGGGGAGGGAAAAGTCTGGGAAGGCCGCTGAAGACCATCCATGTTTGCTGCCCATCTACTCTATATCTGAGGGTGTGTCTAAACTACATGGCTCCATCGATGGAGCCATGTAGTTTAGACACACCCTCAGATATAGAGTAGATGGGCAGCAAACATGGATGGTCTTCAGCGGCCTTCCCAGACTTTTCCCTCCCCCTCCCGAGAGGATACGTGCAAACCTCTGGGAACAAAGGAATTCTGCTGACCCCGGGTCAGGAGAAATATCAGCTCTGGCCTGAGAAGGACTCGGCATTAACGAGAGCTCGTGAGAGCCGTCGGGAGTGGTGGCAATTTCTCTTTGTGTGGGAGCCTTAGCGGGTGCGGGTTGTTTTAGCTGAGTTCAGTAACTCACCGTGACCTGTGTGTGGTGGGTACTGGACTCAGCGGAATGACGAGACCATCGGGGGACAGTGTCAAGGAGATCTTTGTGACTCAACCCGTCCCAGCCTCCCTGCCCTTCATAACCACGGGGGCTGCTGATTGAAATGTAGATTGGAACTGGATTCCACCGAGGTGGGAACCTGCATCATTGCAATGGTGGCCCTGGGGCAGGAAGGGGGTAACAGCTCGGCATCCTGCGATGGCGGCCGGCAGGGACTAGAGGGGGCAGGAAATGTGTCAATATCCCCAGCAGCAGCCGGCAGGAAAAGCACACCTGAATATTGACTGCTTGGCTTTGCCAGCACCCCTTGATCCCAACCCGCAGCCACCTGCTGACCCAGCTGGGGGGCTCCCCCTCCCCGTTTCCCACTCTGCCGGTGACCATTGCTCCCAACCCACAGCCCCTGGCTGGCCCAGCTCTAGGGATGCCTCCTCCCTCTTCCCCAATCTGCCCTTGCACCTCAATCTTCACTGCTTTGTTGCCAATAGAAAGGCAAACAGGCTGAAATTGCAGGCTGTCCCGCTAGGAGAGACACCAGCGATGTGCATTAATTATCAGCCGCACGGTGGCAACGTGGTCTAGTGGATCGCACTGAGAGTCAGGACCCGGGGGATTCATTGCCCCCCTGGGAGGGACCCAGGGTCTAGAGCAGGGGGCACTGGGGAGCAGGCAAGGGAGTGGGGCTGAGGGATTTGGAGGAGGAGGCCTGGGAGCCAGGACTCCTGGGTTCTGTGTTCAGCTCTGGGCTGGGCGCGGGGTCCAAGCAGCCCCACCCATCACTCACCTGTCTCAGGAGCCGAGCCGAGGTATTTTTCGGCCCTGGGTGCTGTTCGTAGCCCGGGCAGGGCTCTGCTGTATCTCTGCTGTGAGAGATGCACTTTGAAGGTGGAGCGAGTCTCTGGGGTTCTCACTGTGTCTCTCGTCATCATGCTCCCCACAGCGATTAGCCCCGGTTCACGTCCCCGGCCACAGTCTTCTGGGAAGGAAGCTGTGGCCAGTGACTGTTCCACCGCCAGCGTGGGGCAAATGCGCTTGCTCTGGGTCTTGACGCAGGGCCTGAGAGGCTGCAGGGAACCCTCAGTGAAACAAACCCTGCGCCGAGTGTCATGGATGAGGGTTTCTGGGTGCACCACTGAGACAAAGCAGGTAGCATTGCTCAGAAACAGGGCTACTTACAGCCCAGGACCGGGGGCTTCCACTCTAAGGTGTCAAACCAGCCTCACACAGTGCGCTTTTGTTCCCCACACTGGCTAAGAAGTCACACCAGCAACGCCCTGTGTATTCCGTACCACGACCAGCACGGCTCCTCACACGGGGAAAGGTTATGAAAACCAGGCTCACCAGATCCAAACTTTCCCAGGTCAATTTATTCCTCAGCTCTTACCCACAACAGCATGCTGGGCCCATTCTTTAGCATCTAACGGCTAAAGGTTTGAAAGAAAGAAAGAAAGAAAGAAAGAAAAAGAAAAAGAAAAAGAAAAAGAAAGGAAGAAAGAAAAAGGAAAAGAAAAAGAAAGAAAGAAAGAAAGAAGGTTGAGAGTACAATTGTTGCACATACCCACACAACGTTCTTGTGGAAGAGATGGTCTAATCGCTGTCGCAGACGCCTCAGGAATACATGTTCTGTTGGGATGAGCTATCAGTCTTCCCGCGTTCAGTTCCTAGCAGAGCTGCTCCTGAACTGACGAGCCAGAGGGAAGACCAAATGGGGGAATCTCCAGTGGCCGTTTTACGCCCGTGCCCGGGTGGAGGGATTCCCGTGGCTCTCGCTGGTAACGGTACCTCCCAGAATGGCGTTTGTCACATGAGCAAGTCACCTGTCCACGCAGGACTCCATCCTTTCTGAGGGAGCAGCCATTGCTTACAATGGGGGTGGGGAACTTTTTTCCCACCGGGGCCACGGACCCACAGAAAAATCACCTGGGGACATGGAGACGTGAGGCACAAAACCAAACATACAAACCCTCGAAAACTCCCCCTTATTGACGTGGCCCCTGACTGAGAAGCAGAAAAAAGACATTCCCCTCCCCCCCTTGCACACCCGCCCAGAGCTTGGGGGAGCCCACAGCAGCCCAGGCTCTGGGGTGAGGCCAACGCTGTGGGATTTAGAGTGTGGGAGGGAGTTGCCACGGAGCAGGCTTGTGGGGTGGGGTTCAGTTGGAGGGAGGATGCAGGAACGGCGTCTGTGGTGGGCTCTGGGCAGGAGGCAGGGCGCAGGACCTCAGGGGGCGCAGGGCCGAAGTGGGAAGGTGAAGCAGGAGCAGGGTTGGGGTCAGAGGTTGGGGAGGGTGGCTGGGTGCAGGAGCAGGGTGGGGGTGGGAGGGAGGGTGCAGGAGCAGAGCAGCGGGGCAGGGTGGAACGCCAGTGCCGACTCCCTGGTGGTGGTGGGGACCCCGAACCTCAAGGGCTGGATCTAGGCAAGCGGCTCCTGCACCCCCAGTCTGAACGTTCCCAGCAAGGTTCCCCCGATGTGGACTGGCACCACTTAACGCCCAGGGTCAGTCAAGGGCTGCCATTTGCTTGAGTAAAATACAGGACTGTGTAGCACTTTAAAGACTAACAAGATGGTTTATTACTGGTGGTGGTGGGGACCCCGAACCTCAAGGGCTGGATCTAGGCAAGCGGCTCCTGCACCCCCAGTCTGAACGTTCCCAGCAAGGTTCCCCCGATGTGGACTGGCACCACTTAACGCCCAGGGTCAGTCAAGGGCTGCCATTTGCTTGAGTAAAATACAGGACTGTGTAGCACTTTAAAGACTAACAAGATGGTTTATTAGGTGATGAGCTTTCGTGGGCCAGACCCACTTCCTCAGATCAAATAGTGGAAGAAAATTGTCACAACCATATATACCAAAGGATACAATTAAAAAAATGAACACACATGAAAAGGACAAATCAAAATTTCAGAACAGAAGGGG